GCCCCCCACCACTCAATTCTACGACAAACATTCTTAACAACTATCCAATTTTACCATTACTTGTAAAACAAATACAAACATACACACACAAACACATCGTTAATTGTTAAAAATTACAAATGAGAAATTTAATTGGACCGCCATCTTTATTATTCATAAAATTTATTTATAAAAAAAAAAATAATTTCAACAAAATGTATGCATCCCATAATAAAAAATTTCAATAAAGTATGCATCAATAATAAAAAAAAGAAATTCATATAAACGCTACGGGTAAATTACGTGAAATTGGCGCTGCAGTCAACGTGGTAAAAAAAGAAAACACGCATAAACGTTTTAACCGATATTAGGGTTATGAACGGTCCAGGAAGAACAGAAGACTATTGGCCAGGATGTGAATTAGGAAAAAAAAACTAGGAAGGGGGAAGAGAAGGAGGAAGAGGAAGGGGAGGGAAACTAACGATGATGATAATGATAATGATTCATGGCATTGAGGTCACCGTGAGAGAGAGAAACTGTTAGTTAAATAACTTTGTTCCAACGAAAGAATGCGATATACTAAATGGGACGATAATATTAGGGGAAAGGAGGAAGAAAGAAGAAGAAAATTATGGTTTTTCTAAAGTAAAATGAATGTACAGGTCTATAGAAATTTAACAGGAACGAGTTAGTCGGTAAAAAAAAAAAAAAAAGGGTGGAGCGAGGGGATTGGTGCGGCCTTGACGAAAAGAATTTTTACCGCAATCCGTGATTGGTCGATAATAACCAATTGGCTAATGGGATATAAAAAATATGGTGATTTTTTTGTTAGATATAATATAGTTACTTTTATTAGATCATATTAAATTTTGTCGGTAATTATTATTTTTTTTTTATATAAAAATGAATATTGTTATTGAAAATATTGATGAAATATTGCTATTGTTTGTATTATTAATTAATTATTAAATATATTCTTTTTCTTTTTTTTTTTTATTTGTGAGACAATCAATGGTCGTAATTACCGACAGAAACGGGTGAAATGAAAATTTCGATTTGGTACCGCTTGGGTGCACCACTAATGCATTTCTAATGTAACTAGATTGATTAGTTTTTACCATTCGTTGGTGATTAAGAAATATTTATAAAATAATTGTATCTTACTCTGTTGATAATTGTTTTACAAATTAATATTATTATTAGAGTAAACTTTGTCGTAAAATAAATGAAGATGAAAGAATTCGTATTTCGAGGTTATAATGAAAAAAAATAACTTGGAAATGTGTTCTTCGTAGTACTAGCCAATCGATAAACGTGTAAAACGGCGTAGTTACAAAGTATTATATATATATATATAACAAAGAAAAGCTTTGAATTATGTAAAATATTGAAGTTATAGAAATGGAATAATGGTAAATAAAAAAAAAAACCAAATATAATAATAAAGAAAATATTTATTTAAAAAAAAAAAACACACAAAAGAAAATAAAAGTTTTCATTTTATCTGCTAGTGAATTATTTCCGTTGCGTAATAATGGAGAATTTATAATTCTAGTTATTTTTTACTGAAAGTCTAGTGTATAAAATAAAAATACTACATTTTCGATCGAAAAATAAAATTGGATAATAAAATTTTATGGAAATGATATAAGAACAAATTGAATAAGGTTCTGATATTTCTAACAATAAAAAGAATATGATTTGAATGGAAATGTATAACCTAAATGAAAATAAACCAAATACTGACGTGAGATGAAATATTTACATGTATATCATCTTCATTTGTATTTATATATATATATATATATATATATATATAACACAGGTATAGAAGAAATATCGGATCGGATCGATTGATCAATTTCATACGATCGTTGACCTAGAATATCAAATAGTGCGTGTCTACCAGGTGTGTGATCGTCAATATGATATTATCGCAAGGATCTCAAATGTCAAGGACATTCTTATATGAAGGGAAAAAAAATCCCTTAACCCCCCTCCCCCAAAAAAGGAAATTAAAACAAGAGAATACATTAATAAAAACAAAAATGTATATCATATTATTTGAACGTTTACAAATTCCTTAAATCTACGTAAAAATAATAGAAACAAAATTTATAATAAACGTTGAAGAACTAATAAAAAAAAACAATTCCTAACCTAAAATGGTCAGAGAAATAATTGAAAGAAAAAAGGAAAGTTAAAACAAATAAATATATTAATAGAAAAAAAGAAATATTATATATATATATATTAATATTTATTAAAAAGAAAATAAATCCTAACCTATAATAGACATAGAAATAATTGATAGAATAAGAATGTAATATTATTCAAACGTTACAAATTCTTTAATAAAATTTAAACCTAATTAGAAATAATAAAAACAAAATTTATAAAAAGTTGAAGAATCAAAAAAAAAATAATTCCTAACCTAAAATGAACATAGAAATCCTTGATAACTTTAAACCTATGTAAAAAAAATTAAAAATAAAATTTATAAATGTTAAAGAATCAAACAATCAAATAATTCCTAACCTAAAATGAACATAGAAATAATTAAAAGAAAAAACATAGTGATATTATTTAAACATTTATAAACTCCTTTTTATAACCTTAAACCTACATACAAATAATAAAAACAAATTTATATAAACTTTGAAGAACAAAAAGACATTTCTAACCTAAAATGAACATAGAAATAATTACAAGAGTAGAAATAGTGATATTATTTAAACATTTATAAACTCCTTTTTATAACCTTAAACCTACATACAAATAATAAAAAGAAAATTAATAAACGTTGAAGAACAAACAAAAAGAAAATAATTCCTAACCTAAAATGAACACATAGAAACACTTGAGTTGACAAAAAAATAATAAATAAAAAGAAATAATTATAAATTAATAATGATAAATTCCTATTAATAATAAGATGATAATAATAATAGTAATAATAATAGTTAATAATAATTAATAGAAAATAATCATTCTCATATATATATATATATATATATATATATCTTTTAATAAAAAGAAATGCGTAGGGGTTCCGTGTTCCACCATGCTTCACCATGCTTTTAGTAGACTACGCCTATTTCGATTTCTCCCGGCCATATAAAGAACGAAAAGTATTCGAAAAAGAATCGAAGAAGAAGAAGAAGTTCTCTTTTACCAAGGAAACGAGAAGGAAGGAAGATCTCAAGAATCAAAGAGAGTGGGGGAAGAGAGTATTACATTCAAAGAACTAAAGAAAGAGAGAGAGAGAGAGAGAAGAAAAAAGAAAGAAACAGAAAGAGAAAGAAAGAAAGATAGGAGTTTCTATCTTTCTCTATTCATGCAGACGAGTCGAAAGAATTCCATCAATGATGGTCGGCCGGACAATATGGCGCCCGGTCTGACGGAACACACATACATACACCACGCATACGCACATGACATATATAAAAAAATCTTCTCATTCGTTCGTTCGTTCGTTCATTCTTTCTTCCTTCCTTCCTTCCTTCCCTTTTTGTCTATCTCTTTTTATCCTATATTCATCGATCTATCTATCTCTTTCTATCTAATGCTGAGAGTGGTGTGTGCGTCATCGACGTAACCTGCGACACACAATAGGTGGACTTGACTACTACTACTACTACTACTACTGCTAACACACACTATAAAGTATTCCAAAAACACACATACGAATATGAAGAAACTGCTCGAATCGTTGGATGGGCGTTTGCCGGTTTATACGAAATTATTTGAAATAATTTTGTTAATAATATGATGATACTTATACGACAACGTTATGACAGAGATAGAGAACCAATGAAAATTCGAAACGTTTTTCGAAGATATTTAAATGACATACGTGCCCCGACACGATTTAATTTATATTTAAATAATATATTCTAATATAATATTCAAAATATTATATGAAAAATGTCGAAATATAAATATAATTTGTAGAAAATATAATAAAGGAAACCGGGATCGTGGTGGTTATAATTTGACTCGTTTCTTAACCCAAAAGGCTACGGGGTTCACACGGCCATCGTTGCCGTGTCTCCCTCACGAGCGCACCAACTCGAGAGTGAGAGAGAGAGAGAGAGAGAGACAGATAGAGAGATAAAATTGTCTTCATTTTTATCTCGATTCATTTAATAATTATCTTAATACGATTAATATTAACACATTGTTTCGTTCAATAACGCATCGTTTTGTTATAATATTAATTAATTGAAATTAAAACTCACCTTTTTGAGTGCTCTTAGCGGCCCAGAAATTCAAGGCTTCGGCGTATTCAACGGCTACCGTTCACTACGATCTCACAGAGTGCACTGCCGTGAACAGCGGAAACCGCCATCTTGAACTAACCGAGATTTTACCCTTTCCGGTTTTTCGAAACGTTTTCGCGCTATAAATCAATTTGTTCGTTTCATTAATTTTCGTAAATATTATTTCTATTATTTATCGATAGAAAATGTTATTAATTATTTTATACTCTTTTTTTTTACTTTTTCTCTTAATTATTAATAAACGTGATATTATTTATTCGTGTTTTATTTTTATACTCGATCGTTTGAAATACTTTGACGCTTCATTTTGACGGATAACCAATCAGATTTTAAAACGTCTTTGTATCGACCAATCATAGAGCTTCTGCAAAGTGTATGATAAATCTTAATATTTTGTTTAATAATATAATTTTATATTAATTTTTAATTAAATAATTAATTAAGAAAAATAATCATAATACACTATTTATACTTCATAATATTGTAAATTTGATAAAAAGTTTAATTTTTACAAATTATCAGACATTTTTAGAACTGAAGTTTGAAACAAATCAAAACTTGAATAATTTATTTATATAAATAAAAAAAAAATGATTGAACATTAAAAATAACACGAATTCGTTTTTATATATTTACATTTTGATATTAATCTTATAAACAGCACCATCTTTTATATAACCTAACATTTGTGAGTGTAAATGATCCAAATGCTAGATTCACGTTCTCGTAGTTACAACTCTATGGCGGAATGCTAGTATCACGGAGAAAGTTAAACACGTGGTAGTATACAAATCCCTCTTGAATTTTGTTTCAAAAAAATTACTTAATCACGTGTTAGAAAGTTTCATTGTAAAAAGTTTCAAACAAAATGCCGAAATCTAAAAGAGATAAAACCAGTAAGTCGAATAAATTGTTTGATTATTTTTCTTCATGATTTCATTATTTGTTGGTTATTTATTTAGTTTTACTTTTTCATTATTTGTATACAAGTATACAATTTCTAAAAATTAAAAAGAATGAACAGTAATAAGACTAATTGTTTTTTAATTAACAGTATCATTGACAAAGACCAGTAAAAAAGGTAAATTATTGAAAGAACAATTGGTAGAAAATGTCAGAAATTGGTGTACAAAATACAAACACATATTACTATTATCCGTACAAAATATGCGCAACAATAAATTAAAGGATTTAAGAAGTGAATGGAATGACAGTAGATTTTTCTTTGCAAAGAACAAGGTTATGGCAATAGCATTGGGTAAAACCAAAGAAAAAGAAATACTCGAAGGTGTACATGTTTTATCAAACGCATTGGTAGGCCAATGTGGATTATTGTTTACTAACCGTAAAACCAAAGAGGTAATTAATTATTATAACATTATAAACAACAACAACAAAATAAATATACAGTTTTAGTATTGCATTTGATTAATGTTCTGTAAATTTTCATTGGACAGGCATTGAAAGCAATTAGACAATACGAAGAAGTTGATTATGCACGTTCTGGTTTTGTACCAAGTGAAACTATAGTATTACCAGAAGGACCATTAAGTGAATTTCCACACAGTATAGAACCACACTTAAGACAATTAGGTATGCCAACAGCATTGGAAAAAGGAGTTGTTACATTGATCAAACAATTTACAGTGTGTAAACAAGGAGAACCATTGACACCAGAACAAGCAAGAATTTTGGTAATTTTTTTTCCTATGCTCCATTAACACTTCAATATTATCATTGAATTGTATTTACAGTTTATATTTTTATCTTTTAGAAATTATTGGGTAAACCATTAGCTACGTTTAAATTAATTCCATTGGGCATTTATTCCACTAAGAAAGGTTATAGAAAACTTTTATATGAAGATGATGCGAAAGAAAATGCTGTTGAAAAAATGGAAGTTGATGATGAGACTGTTACTAAATAATTGTTAATATAATTGCATTTAGGGAATTATATTTTTTATAATTTAAACCTTTGCACTCGAGTGGCACTGAAACGATGCCGGGCAGCTTTAAGTGGCAACTCGAATGGCGCTGATACGGCGCCCAGTGACTGATTTGAAGTCTTTTGTTACACAATCTGCTTGTTTACGATGAATGATAAGATAGTTCTTTTAAGATATACTTAAAAGGGTTGAAAAGGGTCTGTAAGGTTTGCTCTAATTGTAATACACCTGCAGATAGGCCGGAAGTAACATATTATTGTGATACGTGTCCAGATAAACACCTAGGATGTATCTTGGATATTGTTTTATAAAATATCATAACACAAACTAATTACAGAGTATAATATTTCACAAATTTTCTTGCTTTTTTGATATAAAAATAAATCAATTGATAAAATTGGATTATTTGTATACGTTTGTTTGTTTATAAATGACTTTAAAGATGTACGTGTAAAATGTTTCCTTAATTTGGCTGACATTGTTTCGAGTTGTTGATTTAGCGCAAATGAAAAAGGGCCTCGAGTGCAAAGGATTAATTAAATTGTATTTAAATTTCTGATGTCATTAAAATTACAAATTGTACAGAATGTTACAAGCTTGTAGCATGTATCATTTTGTTATTATTTTAATGAAATTAAATCATTACGAATAAGTTCTGTACATATACAGTTATACAAACGTTTGAAATTGTTCAAATGTGTAAAATCATCGAAATTCAAAACAAATGATTGTTAAATAATCTAACTTTTAACTTCAGATCGTTTCAAATTTGTCAATGATGTAATACCAATCAAAATTATTAAAAGTAATTAAAACCAAAAAAAAAAAAAAATAGTAATAAAATTTATATTAATAAAATTGAAATGACTCTACCATTAATGTTTGTTATATTTTGGATATTTATAATAACATGGGTAAGATTATTATTATTATTATTATTATTATTATTATTATTATTATTATTATTATTATTATTATTATTATTAAATTGTATTATATATATATATATATATATATAAGATTTAATTTTTATATATAATAATTTGCATGTTAAGCTTGTATATCGTTGGTATTGGGATAATGATGATTCAGAAAAAATAATTTCACCGTATAAAAGAAATTTGACGAAGAAAAAATTAAATAATAGAAAAAGCACAACATCAATAGAATCTTTGGATATGTCGGAAAGTGAAGATTTTCATAAATGTCACAAACAAAAGATAAAACAACAGGTACTCCTTCTATACAGTCTGATTCACCAGCTCTTGCCACCTAAATGGCTCTGAAAGTATAATACTACCAGAAAAGTGGATAAGAAAAAAGTTTTATAAAAAATTCAGAACTACAATATGACATTAGTATTTTTTTTTTTGCTAGGTTCAGTCATTTTCGAGATTTATCGTTCAACTTTGTTTTTTTAAATACAATGTTATATTTAAATACTCATTTTCGGATAGCGGCTGACAAGACGAATCCAATGATGTGCAACATTAAATACAAAACCTGACAATGATCAATAAAAATTATTCGGAAAATATCTGTTCCGTTCGTTATCGGAACAACCAAAGTATGACGCAACCCTGACGTAACCGTGACGCGACCATGACGCGGAAGAGCTGTATTTTGGTCAGCTTGTTTGTCAGGTTTTGACCTTCGTTGATCTTCAAAAATATTAATGTTGCATATCATTGGATTCGTCTTGACAGCCGCTATCCGAAAATGAGTATTAAAATATAAGATTGTATTTAAAAAAACAAAGTTGACCAATAAATCTCGAAAATGACTGAACCTAACAAAAAATTACTAATGTCATACTGTAGTCCTGAATTTTTCATAAAACTTTGTTTTTGTCAATTTTTCTGCAACTATCATACTTTCGGAATTATTTAAATGATAAGAGCTGGTGAATCAACCTGTATATATTTACAGGAAAAATTTACAGGGAATATTATTAATTTAAAAAAAAAAATCTATAAAATTTACTAAATTACATTCATAATGTAACATTGTAGGCTAAAACAAGATGGCCAAGTAGAACTTCGATGGATGATTAGAAAAACAATAAAAGGATTATACAGTATTTATCAAAAATGATAATTGTTTTATACATCAAGTAACACACAAAAAATATATACTTATATATTAATAAATTATAAATAACGGGGAGAATATATTTAAAAAAAAACAAAAAAAAAACAAAAAAAAATTGATAGATGTGTGTGTCGTCTTCTTTGTAGCATTTATTATTATAGCGATTTTTTCTTTTTTTTTTTTGTCAAGGCTACGATACATGTAAATACATTTATGTGATTTTTTTTTTCATTTTCTTTTTTTTTTTTTAAATATACATATATATATATATGTATATTTCTATATAAAAGCAGTACACTTAAGGATCATCATTTAGCTTACGATTAAGAATTATTTTTTTTTCATATTAATACTGCAGAAAAAATATACATTAGGTTATTTTTAATTGACAACTAAATAACTTAAATATTACAAAATTCATTCACTAAAAAGAGATCCCATTATATATATATA